AGAGCAAGGGAATGCAACACCTATTTAACAAGATAGTCAATGAAAATTTTCCCCACCTCAAAAACGACCATCTTAACTACATCACAAAAGCTTATCGAACACCCAACAAGCAAGATCCCAGGAGAAACACTTCTAGGCACATAATAGTAACAATGATGGATCTGAATAATAAGGAAACAATCCTGCATGCAGCAAAAATGAAGAAGGAGCTATACTACAACGGGAAAAAAATTAGAATCACTGCAGATCTCTCCACACAAACAATGAATGCAAGAAAAGCCTGGGAAAGCACCATACGAGCCCTGAGAGCCAATAACTGCCAACCCAGACTGATATACCCGGCAAAGCTAGCATTCACATTCGATGGAGAACTGAAAACTTTTAATAGCAAAGAAAAACTAAATGAATACATAAACATTAAGCCAGCATTACAAAGAATTCTAAGAGGGGGGACACAACCTGAAGAAAGCAACCAGGAACTGGGACCTGCCCCAAACAGGCATTACTCAAAGTCTAACTGAGCAAGCACAGGAGGAAAGGAAAGAAGAAAAACTTAGGAAAACGGAATGGCAGGGACAACAATGCATCTCTCTATACTTTCTCTTAATATAAATGGGCTGAATTCGCCAATTAAAAGAAAACGAACTGAGGACTGGATCAGAAAACAAGACCCATCCATCTGTTGCCTTCAGGAGACCCACCTCTCAGCCAAACATACAAACAAACTCAGAGTGAAGGGGTGGAAAAGGATCTACCAATCAAATTCCCCCAATAAGAAAGCAGGTGTAGCTATCCTGATATCTGACAAAATAAACTTTTCATTAAAATCAGTACAGAAAGACAAGGACGGACACTACATATTAATAAAGGGAACAATCCAAGAGGAGGATATAACCATCATCAACTTATATGCCCCAAATATTGGTGCACCCAGATATGTTAAACAAATGCTCTCAAACTTACAGAATAAAATAGATCCCAATACGATAATACTAGGAGACTTTAACACGCCACTCTCACCAAAGGACAGGTCTACCAACCAGAGGATTGGCAAAGAAGCTACCGAATTAAGTGAGGCCATACTTCAAGCGGAATTAACTGACATCTACCGAGTATTTCACCCTAAAACAACACAGTACACATTCTTCTCAGCAGCTCATGGAACTTTCTCCAAAATAGACCATATCATAGTTCATTCAAGGAACTTAAGCAAATACAAAGGGATCGACATAATCCCCTGTATCCTATCTGACCACAGTGGAATCAAGCTAGCTCTCAATAACAAAGCATACCGCAGAAATTTCTCTAATACATGGAAATTGAACAGCACACTCCTTAACAACGCCTGGGTAACAGAAGAGATCAGAGAAGAAATAAAGCATTTCCTACAACTCAATGAAAATGAAAACACCTCACAAAGAAACTTGTGGGACACAGCAAAAGCAGTCCTGAGGGACAAATTTATTGCCCTCAGTGCCCACATCAAGAGAATGGAGACAGACCAAGTAAATAATCTCATGTTGCAACTAAAACAGCTAGAAAAACAAGAAAAAATGGGACCTAAAGCTACTAGACGAAGCCAGATAACCAAATTGAGAGCAGAGATTAACCAATTAGAAAATCAGAAAACCATAACCAAAATAAACCAAACAAAAAGCTGGTTCTTTGAAAAAATAAACAAAATTGATGGCCCGTTGGCAAGATTAATTAAAAAAAGAAGAGAGGAAACCCATATTAATAGGATTAGGGATGCCACGGGAAACATCACAACACGTACCCAAGATATCCAAACAATTCTAACAGACTACTTTCAAAAGCTATACTCTCTAAAGGAAGAAAATCTGGCGGAAATGGATGCATTTTTAGAGAAATACAAGTTACCCAAACTGAGCAAAGAAGAAGTTAACCAATTAAATAAGCCAATATCCTATAATGAGATACAGGAAGCTATCAAAAGTCTTCCAACAAAAAAAAGCCCAGGACCAGATGGATTCACAGCAGAATTCTATAAGACCTTTAAAGAAGAACTAATACCCATACTCCTCAAGCTCTTCAGAGAAACAGAGAAGGAGGGAGCTATCCCAAACTCATTCTACGAAGCCAATATCACACTCATCCCCAAACCAGGCAAAGACCCAACCAAAAAGGAGAATTACAGGCCAATTTCCTTGATGAACACAGATGCAAAGATCCTTAACAAGATTCTAGCTAACAGAATCCAGAAACACATAAAAAAAATAATACACTGTGATCAGGTAGGCTTCATCCCAGAGACACAGGGATGGTTTAACATACGTAAGTCAATAAATGTAATCCAGCATATCAACAGAGCCAAGGTCAAGAATCACATGATTATCGCCACAGATGCAGAAAAGGCCTTTGATAAAATTCAACATTCATTCATGCTAAAAGCTCTGGAGAAAATAGGAATAGAAGGAACATTTCTAAAAACAATAAAAGCCATTTATGACAGACCAATAGCCAATATTATACTTAATGGGGAAAAGCTACAACCAATCCTCCTAAAAACAGGAACAAGGCAAGGATGTCCACTGTCTCCACTCCTCTTCAACATAGTCCTAGAACCCTTAGCCAGGGCAATAAGGCAAGAAAAAGACATTAAAGGGATCCGCATAGGGGAAGAAGAAGTGAAACTATCCCTTTTTGCAGATGACATGATACTATACCTCCACGATCCCAAAAACTCCATCCCCAAACTTTTAGAAATCATAAGTCACTTCGGCAAAATAGCAGGATACAAAATAAACCCACAAAAATCAGTTGCCTTCCTATACACTGATAACACACAGGAAGAGAGGGAAATAAAGGGAGCAACCCCATTCACAATAACCTCCCAAAAAATAAAATATTTAGGAATTAACCTAACCAAAGATGTAAAAGAACTATTTAATGAGAACTATAAAAAGTTAAAGAAAGAAATTGCAGAAGACACTAGGAAATGGAAAGACCTCCCATGCTCCTGGATAGGCCGACTTAATATAGTAAAGATGGTGATACTTCCAAAACTAATATACAAATTCAATGCAATTCCTATTAAAATCCCAATGACGTACATCACTGAAATACAGAAAACAGTCCAAAAATTTATATGGAACAACAAAAGACCTAGAATAGCCAAAACAATTCTAGGGGATAAAGACAATATGGGAGGGCTATCCATGCCGAACTTCAAACTCTACTACAGAGCTATAATCACAAAGACAGCATGGTACTGGCACAAAAACAGACCCGAAGACCAATGGAACAGAATAGAAGATCCAGATATAAATCCACAGGCCTACAGCCAGCTGATATTCGACAAAGGAGCCAAAGACATACAATGGAAGAAACACAGCCTCTTCAACCGCTGGTGCTGGGAAAACTGGGCAGCCACATGCAGAAAACTAAAAGTGGACCCCAGCCTATCACCATGCACCAACATCAACTCAAAATGGATTAAAGACCTTAACATTAAACCTGAATCTCTGAAACTACTGCAGGACAGAGTAGGAGAGACACTTGAACTAATAGGCACAGGAAGGAACTTCCTGAACAGAGTCCCAGGGTCACAACAAGTTGGAGAGAGACTCGACAAATGGGACTACCTTAAAATAAAAAGCTTCTGCACAGCTAAATCTATCGCAACTAAGCTAGAAAGACAACCAACTAATTGGGAAAAAATATTTACCAGCAATATATCAGACAAGGGGTTAACATCCTGTATATACAGGGAACTCAAGAAACTAATCCCTCCCAAACCTAACAAACCAATTACTAAATGGGCAAGGGAGCTAAAGAGGGACTTCTCAAATGAAGAAATAAAAATGGCAAAGAAACACATGAGGAAATGTTCATCATCCCTGGTGGTGAAGGAAATGCAAATAAAGACAACCCTGAGATACCACCTTACCCCAGTCAGAATGTCCCACATCCACAAATCAGCCAACGACAAATGCTGGAGGGGATGTGGAGAAAGAGGAACCCTATTACACTGCTGGTGGGAATGTCCACTTATACAACCACTTTGGAAAGCAGTCTGGAGGGTCCTTAGAAAGCTAAAGATTGACCTCCCTTACGACCCAGTCATACCACTTCTAGGCATCTACCCTGAACAACAGGAACCAATATACAAGGACACGTGCACCTCCATGTTTATTGCAGCACTGTTCGCAATAGCTAGGATATGGAAACAACCTAGGTGCCCCACCACAGATGAATGGATCCAAAAATTGTGGTATCTATACACAATGGAATATTATGCAGCCATTAGAAATGACAAAATAATGGCATTTGCAGGGAAATGGATGGAGCTAGAAGGAATCATGTTGAGCGAGGTAAGCCAAGAACGAAGAGACAAACGGTACATGGTCTCCCTCATAAGTGGATGCTAAATCCAAAAGGTTAGGTGATACGACAAAACTAACAGGACTTAAGAAACAAAGAACTCCCACTCATCTGGTTGAACCACTACTAAATATCCTCATGCTGCTGATCACAAATATGGTATATAACATGTGAACACTGTTATATATTACAGACTGTGGTAGACAATTTGCTCCAGGGAAGTTAGAATGAACTTGTGACTTTGAAATTATGTAATCATTTAATCACAATCAAAAAAAAAAAGAACCTCGGGGAAGGGAGGGAGGGAGGGGATGGTAGGGGGAAAAAAAAAAAAAAAAAAGATAATCTATAATTTACCATATTAAAGATCACTTGAAATAAAAAAAAAAAAAAAAAAAAAGATGCAATTATCACATAATCCTTTCCTTTCATGCTAGGAGACATCACATTACCCAGGACCATACAACAATAGTGATTGGAGGCAGTGATGGGCACTGCCTCAGCCTGGTCTATTTTCAACTTTCTGAAATAATTCTTCTGACTCTGCAAGCTGTTGCTCAGGGCCCAGAGTGTACAGCATCAAGTCACTCTTTCAAAAAGTCAAAATAAATGCCAAGCTGGTACAAAAATGTACAATTGGTACATGAGATGGGTACCTGTAAGAGGGCATGGTGCATTGTCACCTCCAGTTCAGCTAAAACATGAGCAGCATCCTCACTGTCCTCTTGAACTTCCAAGTCCTCCTCAGGGATGGTCTCCCAGTTGCCCTGGTGAGCAGCCAGTGTGTGCACTAGTTCATACTGTCCAGGGAGAGCCAGGCTGACACGGGTCTGAGTCCCATAGGTGAAGTGGAGGCGCCGAAGCTTACAGCTCTCTTCGCTGCCCAACTTGCTGGTGGGAAGCACCTGCACCCCCAACAGCAGGTTCAACAGCTGGCACTTGACCTTACAGTCCTGGCCGAGGATCAAGATGCAGGGGAGGCAGTCCACCATCTTCTGGAGGTACTTCTCTTCCTTAGCTGGGAAGGAAATGCAGCTCAGCTGGCCTGGTAGAGGAGAGAGTGGAGGAGAAAAGGAGTAGAGAGAAGAGTGAGAAGGAACAGAGAGACTCCATTAGGACATCAGGGTCCTAAAGGAAAAATTTCCAGGAACTCTAAGTTAAAGGTAATATCCCAAAGCCAGGCGCCAGTGGCTCCTGCCTGTAATCCTAGCTACTCAGGAGGCTGAGATCTGAGGATTACGGTTCAAAGGCAGCCTAGGCAGGCAAGTCCCTGAGATTCTTACCTCGAATAAACCACCCAGAAAACCAGAAGTGGCACTGTGGCTCAAGAGGTAGAGCGCTAGCCTTGAGCTGAAGAGCTGAGAGACAGCGCCCAGGCCCAGAGTTCAAGCCCCATGACCCACAAAAAAAAAAAAAAAAGGAAATATCCCAGTCAAAAAAGGTTCTTCAAATATCAAAGAGTTTCCTTCCTCAGCACATCCCCAGAGAACAAGCTGTTATTTCTATTAGAAGATGGCAGTAACCTGTTCCTCCCTTTTTCATTCTGAAGAGGGACAGCCTCAGGAGTTTGTAAGAATTCCATACAAATGTAATCATTAAAATGTCAATCACTGGAACATGAGTCCAAGGAGAAACTATAGTTGAATGTGTGAAAATTAAAACCTTCCTTCTCACTAAGACCTCAAACTTCCCTGCCATCCATATGCAATTTTATCCTATTATGCTTCTCACATGTTTACCTAAATGTATGAGCTGATCTGCACATGGGCATGTGTGTGCACACATGCACAGACACACAGACACAGACACACAGACACATACACGCGCGTTGAAAATATTTTCTTTTTTTACTTTTTTTTTGGTCAGACATGGGGCTTGAACTCTAGGCCTGGGCACTGTCCCTGAGCTCTTCAGTTCAAGGCTGAAGAGCCACAGCACCACTTCCAGTTTTCTGGTGGCTAATTAGAGATAAGAGTCTCATGGACATTATTGTCAGAGCTGACTTTCAACTGTGATCCTCATCTCAGCCTCCTGAGTAGCTAGGATTACAGGCGTGAGCCACCAGCACCCACCACTGAAAACTTTTTCAAGACTGACAGCTATACTACATTCAGTTCATACCTCTGATGGCTGAGACAGTGCCCAAGCTGCCAGCTCACCGATGCCACACTTGCCAATCAAGTCATACTTCTGTTTATGGGTAAAAAGACACTGCTTAAGACAAAGAGAAGAACTCCCCACTAGGATAAAACAATTCTAGGAAGAAATGTGATTTATCTCAAAAATGTTTCCCTTTGAAGATAATCACCACTAATCTAACTGGTTAACCTCCTCTCACAGATTCAAGTAGTACCAGTTTGGGGGAGGGGGGAAATCACAATTTATTTTACTGAAACTGTCAGAATCTGAACTCTCACTCTCCTACTTCTTCAGCATCAAGATCCCCTACAACTAAGATTCAGAAAGGCCAACCTTTGAGCGAAACTACACACATTATAACTGAAGTCTGGGTGGTATTACTAAGTGAAATACTATTCATTTTAGTCATTTAGCCCATAAGCCACACTGAATATTTTCAGGCTGCTTATTTTGTTTGTGTAATTGAAGCAGCAAGAGGCCTGATTCATTAAAAGATGGTTCAGAATGTACCTATCCTGCTTCTACTTCAAATCCTCAAACCTCCTCCACTTCCAAAAAAATTAAAGAGATCTGTCTGTATTCACCCAGGCTCTTTCTACATTTTGTGCCTCTCCTTTCATGTCTGTCTCTGAATGCCTGAACAAGTACATCAGCAGCAACACCAGACACTGAAAAGAAGAAACTTCTCCCATGGGAAAGAAGTCGACTCCTTTGAAAAAGCAAAGAGTATTCACTGAGTGCCTAATTCTGTGTAAGATATTTAATAAGCATAAGAGTAAGATTAGACTACTGATTTCATCTTTGACCTATAACCAAAACCAAGAAGGAACAGTGTTTGCATAAGCACTTGGGCAGTAGTAAGTCCTGAGTCCCTTTGTATCTTGTTCACTTATCAATTTGTTCTAATTATCTGTTTATAATAATCACAACCATCATCCTATCTTCAACATCCAACACAGAGATTGATATATGTAAGTGCTTAAAGTTCATTCTGCTAAGAATCCATTTATTGGGAGTTGTCTACAGAAAGCAACAAGGAAACCCATTAAATATTGTGAAATGTATAGTATCATGATGAATAGTCTCAGGAGAATGATCACTCCTAAAAATGACTTTTATCTCAACATATACAGTAGCAACAAACAAAAGTAGAATTGCAGAATTTAGCCACCACAGTCTCAGCCTAACCTGTGAGAAGCCCAGACACTGACTTCTCTCTTGCCTACCATTTCTCCATTTACTCTTTTCTCAAGTCTCCCAGATTCTCACCTAAGAATTAACAATCTAAGTATCAATGAACCTTTAAATAAATTCTTGTAACAAAAGCTGTTTCAAATTTTTTTTTGGGGGGGGGGTCCAGTCGTGGGGCCTGAACTCTGAGCCTGAGCGCTGTCCCTCAGCTCTTCAGCTCAAGGCTACCACTTGAGCCACAGCGCCACTTCCGGTTTTTTTCTTTTTGCTTATGTGGTGCTGAAGAATGGAACCCAGGGCCTCAAGCATGCAAGGCAAGCGCTCTACCACTGAGCCACCTTCCCAGCCCTTGTTTCAAAATTTAGACAAAACTAACCAACGTACATGAGCTTCGTGATTGCTATTACTAGGAGGGTGGATAATAGAGAAGAAAACCAACTGAACCACTTTTAGAGGCTAGACAGAAAGGCCTCAACACCTCTGAGACAGTGTCCATGACAGAAAAGCTAATAAAACATGCTACATTGGCAAAACCACCACAGGCACACCACATTATTCATCAGACCCAAATTATCACCTCTCCGGTTTCCATCTCTCCTGCAAAAACAGCCACTACAAATAAACCTGCTACTGTCAAAGCAACCAAGGACTAGTGCAATGCAAAGGGGACTCAATTGAGCCTAGTGTCTAATTCTCTACTTGTATGCTCTCTGCAAGGGTTCCATGTGCAACCTACTATCCTCAAGAAAGGGCTTCATGGAGACATCACTGTCCACAGCCTTTGCTTCTCCCAAGAATCTTTACCTTCCTCACTGACCTCTAACATGTCTGTAAGATTTGAACAAGGACATGAGAAAAATGAAGCTGAAAGCAGACAGCTGGAGTCCTTCCTTCTCTGGGAACACAGCTCCAGGATACGAAGTGTAGCATGGTGAGGGAACAGCACTAAACTGAGGGCACATTTCTGACCCCAGGCTTCACCACTGACTAGCTCTGTGACCTTGGCAGTCCACTCGCCATTTAAGCCTTGAATTGCTCATCTGTAAACTCAAGGTGTTAGATTTGATTATCTTTAACGTCTTTTCCAGTTCTAAAATACTGGATATGATGTTTTAATTGTTGAAAGAGTAAGGATGTGGGAACGAAGGGAGGTTGGTTGTTTTTATTTTAAATTATTTGTGAATTTAATTATGCAAGCTCCCTCAGGACTTCTGTAACTACAGATCAAAAAGTTGAGTGAACTAGCCAGGGGCTCAGAGGACCTACAGTGCAGCCTTAGCAGATCTCTAAAGAAGAAATTAAAAGCTGTAGACTGACAGTAGGAGGGAGGAAGGAAACCTGTTTCACAGCTACAACAGCTGCCTCTCTAACAGTTAAAGGACTTCTAAGTTAATCGGGGTTTCTTATGTAATTAATACAAGGGCATCTGCATATGGGCTGCCAGAAGGTAAACAGCATGGCTTCTCAGCTGGCATGCATTAACCCTGCCAGCCCTGGCTGCAGGAAAATTCAAATCAAATTGTCTTCAACCAAGGCTTTTCTGACTGAAGTTACTTTTTTTGTTGTTTTTTGTTTTTGTCGGTTGTGGGGCCTGAACTCTGGGTCTGGGTCCTGTCTCTCAGCTCTTCAGCTCAGGGACAGTGCTCTACCACTTGAGCCACAGTGCCACTTCCAGCTTTTTCTGCTTATGTGGTGCTGAGGAATTGAACCCAGGGCCTCATGCATGTGAGGCAAGCACTCTACCACTGAGCCACCTTCCCAGCCCCAAAGACTGAAGTTACTTTTAAGCAAAGGTTTTAAGTTAGGGGGAAGAAAAGAAGAATTAAAGAAGCAAGCCACTTTATTTGTTCTAGATAACATTTATTGAGTCCACGTTGAGTACTAATCACTTTATTTGCCTTATCACATTTAAAGCTTACAGATCCAACCGGACAAGAATTTCTCAGTTAAAAACCAGGACACTGGGAAGTTGGCTCAGTGGTAGAGAGCTTGCCTTGCATGCATGAGGCCCTGGGTTCAGTTCCTCAGCACCACATAAGCAGAAAAAGCCTGAAGTGGAGCTGTGGCTCAAGTGGTAGAGTGCTAGCCTTGAGCTGAAGAGCTGAGGGACAGCACTCAGGCCCAGAGTTCAAGACCCACGACCAGGAAAAAAAAACAAACAAACAGGATACACTCTAGGCACTCACATAGAATAAGACCAAAAGAGGATAATCTTAGGAAAGGATCACGTAGCCCTGTACATGTGATGGTACAAAATAGTATTTATGGAAATGAACTCCAGGCAGTAGAAACGAGAGGCTTTTTTTCCTTTGTTGCTGTTTTTGTTTTCATTCTGTTTGTCTTATTTGTTCATTTATCTGTCTTTGGCAGGTAAAGGGAAGGACAGAAATGGTGTGGACAAAGGGTGAGCAAATGCAGCAGTGATAGTTACTATGTTGAAAATGAACTATACAACTTGTGGGTGGAGACAGCGTGTATTTTACAGGGGGGGGAAGCCAGGAGAGCAAGGGAAGGGGTGACATTGCTTAAAAAAATAAATGTACTCTTTATTTGACTTACAATGGTAACCCTTCTGTACACTACCTTTACAAGAAACAATAATTTAACAAAAAAAAAAAAAAAAGAGGACATAGAAGCCTAAAACACCTAAACACATGAAAGGTGAAAAACAGGCAGGTTGTTCTAGGTCTCAGGTTAGTGGTAGGCAAGGGCAAC